CATAAATTTATATATACGACATTTTGAAAATTGCCTATGGCTTATCGGTCAGCCAATTCGAAAAGAAACACGGCAAACCTTTTTTCGGCAACCTAAGGAGTGGAATGTTTCAGAAGAGGTCATGAGTAAGTAGAGGGTACATCATTGATTGATTTCTCCCCAGGGAAAATAAAGTTAGAGCTAGTTGTCGGTTTGGTCAATTTTTGTCGGCTGGACCTCCCATTTCGCAGGCCTAAAATTTGAAAACCCTGGAACAGAGGTGGAAGAAGAACATAGCATCTTGTAGAGCAGACAATTCTCTTTCGAATGGTATATGACACGATGTAAAAGCATGGGGATTTAGATGAAAATTTTTTGGTTGAAAAAAGCGACACTATTTATGAGACAACCTAATACTTTGAAGGCACGCTCCGGGATTAGGCAAACTCACCCATACCCGATCGTAGTAGGTAGGCACATCGCCGATGATGAAAGTGATGTCGCGCACTTTTCGCGGTTTATAAGTCAGTGAAAGTCAAGAAGGTGCGCGACGAAGGCGTAAGAAGCTCGCTCGACCCGCAATCCACACCTTCGTCCGCAAGCCCCACCCTCCGCTGTCGGTTGCCACGTGGCGCTGCTTGAAAAGCGCGGGCGCATTTGAGGCAGCGGTCCCATATCCAATGTTATTGGCACTGGAGCAAGTAGAGTTAGGTTCGTGAAACTCGTCCAACGCGCCCCTTCTCTATCCCAAGGTGGAATGTGGCTGAAATAGGGGAGGTCTCTGTGCGGGCGTAATCGGTGGTTTCGTTTGCTTTCCTTCTCTTTTACAGACCACCTCCCCACTGTAGTTTCATTAGTGGACGACCTTCCATCCCTGTTTTATCCCTAGCCCTTAATAATTACAATGTTGCCAACTTGCATTTATTGTTTTTCATTCACAATCTTTCTCCATACAGCCTGCAAACTCGGTCTAGGATTTATGAATTTTTCACGGTGCAAATTTCGTCCTCGCCCTCACCGCAGGTGTAAATGAAATTTGCCTCGACGATTATATTTGGCGAAAGTCGTCGAAAACAGCGGCTGGGTGGGGCAACTTGTAACAGCGCATCCACCTTTCAGAAAATGCTAACTTGGTTTTTCAGTGGTTCAATTGTTCTATTCACTTAAATTTTGAAGTAATGTGTCCGTGATTTGTTGGTTGCGTCGGACAAGCAATCACAGTCCTCAGACAATCGTTAATAACAAACATAGACGGCGATGGTCCATGAACTCCAAGCAGAATTTTGGTAGGCTAATAGCCCCTTCAACTTATGTTATGGGTTTTTCATTAAAACATAGCAGGCATTTTATACCGTATTCATTCTTTAGACAGTGTTCACCCAAAAAAGAACGGCCTCTTCATCAACCGTAATTTCCTCATTTCATTGTGGAACTAATCCCGCTTTGTTCTCAAATTAGCATCGCATGCACACAGGAATGTCGTCTATCTATGAACGGCTTCCTTATATCATTGCTAAGGATGAAAAATGGCAGTTATCCACTCATTGATTGGCTTATAAGCGGTCTACATACCTTGGAGATCCATTTTGTGAGGTTCACTGATAACAGCTCCTATCTCAAGGAATGAGCCCTACGATCTCTTTTGCCTTTTACGATACACGGGCTTGCTCGAGGGTAATGTAGACGTAGGAGAAGTCGCATGGGGCGTGGTTGAATATTGATGGCAGGCGCCTGACGAGTGGATTCAGACGTACATAGGGCTAGCCATCCAGACTGCGCCGGTACGTCATTACCGACTGCTCCGTACATTCTACTGCTTCTCGTTCTATTCATTAATCGATTATTGATTCTGCACGAAACGTTTTCAGTCATCACCGATCTCACACGGATGAGTGACGACGTCTACTCTTCATCCGATGTTGCTATTACTATTTTTTCTAGTACATATTCAGTCTTTACACTGTTTACCGAATATGTATCCATCCGATTCACCACGACGATGTGCGAATGATACGGAAATCATTGATCACTTATTACTTGATACGGCCTTACATTACAACAAGCACAAACTGCCATCGAATCCTGTTGATGTGCGTATTGAGATGTGGGTCCAGGAAGTGACTTCAGTATCTGAATTGACACAAGACTTTGAAATTGGTGAGATACATTTCGCAGCTTTTCCAGGCCATCCACTTACAACTACCGTAGTCTGGCACGCGCCTGATGACTGCTTCATTTGCGCTATGACTAAATGAATGTCGCTCTAAACAAATGAAATTTCTAGGATGTAGAAATATTAAATGCCGTTTATCCTTACGCTGTTAGGAATGACTGATTTAGGAGCTGCAGCTCTTTGGAGAAGTATTCAAAGAGTCGCACTGCTGCCTGACTCCGATGTAGAATTATTCAGGGCTGTAGAGGAAATTCCTGAATTAGCTGCACTTTTCACTTTGTTCTGAGAACTCCTAAGAGACTTGTCGCATAGTGGCCATCCCTAAATAACGAGAGCAATTCCTAATAGCACTTTCCTGATAGCCCTCTTGGATTGTGAAATTGGAAATGTTCCTTTTACTTCTGCAGCCGTTTCTTGACCGTTAACGCATTTCGCCGGCCGTATATCTTTCTTGATATGTTGACGTTTAAGAAGTGATGCTCGTGTCAAGTGTCGGCCTCGGTTTTTAGTGTATTCTGACGGTTTTGGCATGGCTATCGCCGCATTGTGCGAAGACGCGTCAGGGAAGCGAGGGTGAAAGGCTCCTCTGGGACGGCATGGCGCAATTCCATTAGGTTCGTCGAAGAGCATCAGTCGCTCTATAGGGTTCGAACGAGAGGAATTAGGAGCGTGTGAGATGATCG